ATGAGTACCAGGAATTAATTAATTTTCCTGGGGAGTAAAGCGTGGTCGGCACGTAGGGCTGACATCCTTACCGCCATCTTTGAGCCAATTGTATAGACAATGTGGGGCCATCAACGTCTCACAACCCTATGGGCCTTCACGGCATGGTACGGGGATAGCTTTACTCATTTTTTTTTCTCTGAAGGCAAAGTGCACCATGCAATGTAAATACATACCTGAATAGTACTATCTTCTGGGATATAATGCTGTGTAGTCCGTTGAAAGCATGTGGCAAGTAAGCTCTGCTCACCGCCTGCTTTCATGCTGGCTTCTTGCTCAGCTTATTCATGAAGATGGAGGCAATAAGTTTCTCTGAAACAGTGGTTGACTTTTAACAGCCTACATTGCTTTATATCCCAGAAGGTAGCATTCTTCACAGCCACTGCTGTGAGACCTTCACATCCTATGTAGATACATACCTGTCCCACAAATATTTTAGACTGTTAAGTGGAACTTTAAACCGAATTCTGTTCCGTACAGAGAGCTGTGGGAACGAGAACATGAGCTCAGCTTGAGACATTCCTTTGCGTGTGTCCTTCTCGTCTGCCTGTAATGCGCAGAACCACATCAGATCTTCCTGTGATAACTGATAAGAATTGACAGAGCAGTCAAAGAATTTCTGAAGAAGGAAATGCACTGATTTGGCAGCTCGCACTGTTCCACTGCACAGCAGCACTGGCAAGTGAATTGTGAACTGTTCTTCTAACCCTTTGGACGCACCTCTGCACACCATGAACCCAATGTAATATTTGCTTCGTAAATCTTCGCCGTTTTTCCTCTTCGTAACATTTACCAATATCTGAAATCAGTGAGAATACAGAAAGAAAAAACTACCAACTGTTGTGTTTTTATCACAGGCTTCAATATTAAACCTTTTGATGCTGCTCTCAGGAAACCAAATAAAAAGTGTTGCGGAAACATAACAGTACATTTTGTCCTTAAATTTCTCAGTCTGAATGGTCAAGATTCATCAGTGCTGGGGTTAAGAGTGGTGGAGCTATACTTCCACCCCCCATAGGTCTTCATGGCAGGGATAATTTTGCCTTCTTACCTTCATTATTCCATAATTAAGAGAAACATTTTTAATTTAAATGAAATATACTTTTTAAAGACAACATATACTATATTGTAATGGTATGAATTGGACATGTACAAGCTTGAATATCCAAGATCAAACCAGGAAAAAGAATCTCGACTGAAACATTGATTTTCCATTCTTGAATATGAAGAAACTTCAAATACCTGTCTATGTACAGCAGCAAGCAAACTAGCAAACTCATATGAATCATAAATTCTGGCAATGCTAGCGTGAATCAACTTGTCAACAAAATCTGCCTCGTATTTGACAACTAGTGAAAAAGGACCTGGCTCTAGAATTCAACTTTTTTGAAACACAATGATTTGTGAAAATTTGTGACCGAAAGGGTAACATGATAAGAAGTACACTTCAGTGCATTATGAGAAAAGTAAAGCTACCCCAGTAACAGGCTGTGGAGGCCCGTAGGGTTGTGACACATCGAGGCTTCCACATTTTCTAGACAGTCAGCTCACAGAGGCGGTGAGGTTATGAAGAAAGTGAGTACTTGTATAATTTGTGGTTACAATGGGTGGAGGGGGGTGGAGAGAGGAATAAAGACTAGTAGAGAAAATTCTAGTTATCTCAGTTCCCAGAATGTTTCCAACTTCTCATCTCAATCTGAAAAAATAATTTTTGTGCACATCTGTATAAATGCCAGATTCAACATAATGGCTCAAATTCCAGATGGATAGTGGCATAAATGTTTAGTGGTTCAAAACGATTTGCTTGATGGTACCATTATCTGACAGGCCGATACAAGACAATGTTTAGAGATTATTTTGCTAATTTCATAATAAGAAGAAAATTTTACTTACATAAATTGAAGTTCTGCCATAAATGTAGTTAAATGCTGGCATAACTTAGTGTCAAACCTGAAAATTTAGTCTAATGTACTACGAACCTTTATGGCCTCACTGTCGTTCTGTGTCAGAGTGAGTCCTTCTGCCACAGAGAAATTTACTTCATAATGCGCATCCAGCGTAGAATCTGTCAGCAAGGTAGTGAGACCTTCTCGCATTCGCTGACCATATTGCTTCATTCGTACTGTTGTATACTCAAAATTGTGCAACGGTGATACTCTGAAAACCTTCCATGTTTTGCCAGTAAGATCTATAGAGAAGAATAAATGACATTATTATATGTCATAGGGCATTAACTGAATTAGATCTGCAACTTCTTCATTGGACTTATATATTAACCAGAGGCAGCCTAGTAGTGTATCGAAAGGGACAAGTTTTGGAATGGTCAGGTTAAACAGTGGATGGGGGATTATTCTCCAGGTTAAACAGCTGGGTACGAGATCTAAAAGGGGTACTATGCTACAACCTGGAAGGTTGCAGGTTTGAGTCCCAATGAAGTGGATTATTTTTCAATTGACCTAATCCTTCCAGCTGAACTATGGCCCTAGGCTCGACTCAGCGTCTAACAGAAATGAGTACCAGGAGTCTTCCTAGGGGTGAAGGACAGTCAGCACATAAGGCTGGCAACCTTACCCCCATCTATGAGCCAATTGCCTACATAATGTGGGACCCTCAATGTTTCACAATCCTATGGGACTCCATGGCCTGTTGCAGGGATAGCTTTACCTTACAATATCTAAAGCAAGAGAGACAAGTGTTCCCTCCTGCTGCCTAACTGTGGCAACAGGGAGGTTCTGCATCAACTGAGATGCATGTGTACAGCACCCCAGTGACTTATGATCATTCTGCACATATTTCTGTGCATCCTGTTACATGTTTATATATATTAGATATCATATGCTTTGCCCTGGTGCAGAACGTGAAACTTGAACAGTCCCCACTTCTCTCAACCCTCCAGCACCGTAGCAGCCAGTGCTGTTAACTGCTAACACATGGGAAGTAATCCCTACACTGCTTTGTGCCATTGCTAACTCCAGACAAACTCAAAGGGAGTTGAGTTCCACACACAGCAAACCTTCACTAACGC